CTCATGCAACTTTGCTACTATTGATCTTTGAACTTACGAATGACACAAGCACGGAGATTGCAAAACAAGCTTGTAATACGCTTGATTTTATTTAGAAGGATTAAGTGATAAAATTCACCCATAGCGATGGAAAGGCATCTTATTTTAATAGATAATGGCGCAAATGAAATAAAGGATGCAACTATTGGAAGTGCTGCACATACAGCTGGCAAAGTAATTCTTCATTTGCTATTACTGATTATAAATAGTGATATGATAGGAATTTATGGTTTATTATATTTGAAATATTGAATTTGAATATACTGTAATATAGTATTTTTTTCATGATAATCACGGAATCACACCCAATGTTTAAAATTTGGTATTCTCAGTGTTCTCTGAAAACACTTAACAATTTTTATGAATATAAATTATTGGAAATGTTCAACATTTTTAATATTTAAAAAATTTTAACTTCTGAGAATATTAAAAAATTTTTAAGAACATTTAAGAATTCAGAAAATGCGAATTTTAACATTATGATCTGCAAAGATCACCCCTCTTTTGCAAACCGCAATATTAATTGAATATATGATTGATAATATCTAGAATCTCTGAAATTTCTGCTAACATCATCACGAAAATTACATTTGCGGAGCACTATAATTGTTTTTATATAGGAATAATTAAACAATTATAAAAAATGCAAATTTAATTAATTCAGCGTTATTACTAACTAGTCTTAAGCCCAATATTTTTTTTATTAACTCTACCTAAAATCTACGGAGCCTTTGTTTAATTAGGCTTACCCTTAAGTTCTATACGTCCAAAATCATTTTGATTTATGGCGGTTTGCAAAAAAGTATAACACCATGATTTTCATGATGATGATGGTAGAGAATCTTTGAAATTCTAAATAAAAAATCTAAATTAAGAATTGAAATAAAATTATATATAATTATATCCTTAATCATAGTTTTGATCAATATAAAGTTATATTATATATATATTTATATAAAACTATTGTATTCTGCTTTTTTTTTACATAATATATTTCTTCCCAAAAAATGACCAATGTTCAAGAAACAAAATTAAAATATCGTCGAGAAAGTTGTTTTAGTTGCCGAAAATGCATGTACTGTGGAATTGATTTGCAACAAGAAAAGTGTGACTGCAACTTATCTAATATTCCACATAAAGATAATCAGATGAATGCTGTCAAATATGCATTTACACAAGTATTTGATTCAAACTGGATAAAAGAAAAAGTAGAATTTGTCCATCAAAAAATAGAACACTATAATTATTTATTAAGTTCAAAAGAGGCCTTCAATTTTACTTTATGCTCTCGATGCAATAGCATTTTATTAAGATTATCTTCAAAAGCAAAAAAGCTTAAAGCAACATCAAATTCTACCTTTGCAAATAATGATAATTTTTCAGAATTAGAAACATGTGATCTTACTACCCTAGCAAGTGAGGTATCCGAATCTGAAGAAAAATATGATTGGAAACCTGATAAAAAAATATATAGAAGCGAATATGAAGATTATGATGATGATGAGCCTTTGTCTGATGAGGAAGTTGAATATGAATATACTTATAGTGTTTTTATCAAGTTGGAAAATGGAATGTCTCTTCCAGCAAAATAGTACACAGCTAAAGTATCTACAGTTGATAAGTTACTTTCAGAAATTCATATAAATATTGAAACTTTAATTGAAAAAAAAACAATTGATCCAAATAATTATCGTATCATATTTAAATCTGAAAGGCAGCTAGAGCAAGTACTCAACTGGTTGATATTCAAGACTTCAAGAAATTTCAATCAGATTACCAAAAATATAGATCTAAAAATATCAATATAGTCTTTTTTATAACATTTATTAGCTCAAGTCTAAAGCGAAAAATAAGTGTAAGTAGAAATTTTTATATTATGCTTATAATAAATGTTGTTATATAAAAATAATGTTTATCTTTATTTAGGAACTTGATCTGATAATAATTCAGATGATGACATTATTATAGATTCGAAAAACAAAAGTTCTATTTCTAAAACTTCAAATCTATCTTTGATTGAATCATCGATTGCAAAAAATGTTCTAGAAATTCGGACAAAAAATCATTGTATAATTTATAATCGACCATGTTTAAATAAAGATGGAGCCAAAGAAAACCATATTGAAATTACTTTTATGATGCTTTCAATTTGGGATCTGAAATTGTAAGTAAATTTATTATAAATAAATTTTTAGAATATATATTATATATTCATAGAATTAATTTTTAAATATATAGAATAAAGCAATGGCATCACCAACAGAACCACCAATGCATTCTTTATTTGCATATAAACATTTAAGAAAGACAAATGTATCATCACAATCACAATCTAATTCTACACAGTTTAATCAAATTCAACCCTTTAGTTCTACTCAATTCAATCAAATTCAACCATCTAATTTGATACAACAATCCAATTCGATAGAACAACCTAATTTGATGCAACAACATAATTTAATATATCAATCTAATTCGATGCAACAATCTAATTTAATGCAATAATCTAATTCAGTACACTCTAATTCAATACTTCCTAATTTGATACAGCATTCTGATCGAATACAACAATTTAATCCAATACAACAATCTAATTTAATGCAGCAATCTAATTTAATGCAACAAGCTAACTTAATACAATATTCTAATCCAATGCAACAATCTAATTTTATTCAACATTCACTTTTTCCGGGCCAGCATTATATACCATCTATATTTTATAACCCGTTTTCAACATATATTCCTTTACAAACTTATGGAATGTCTTTTCAAATGCCTATTCAATCCTCTTTACAACAAACATTACCTACCATTAAAAATTTCTTGAAACATGTAGATGAATGTGAAAGTACTGAAGACTATTACCAGAAATTTTTATTAAAATTTGAGCAACAAAAAATTTCTGTACGATTACTTTCAAAATTGTCAGATGAAGACTTTGACAAATGTGAAGTAAACATTATTGGTGCACATCAAATTCTTCGTGAATATGCTGCAAAATACAATATATAATTTTTACATTATTATGTGACAAATCGTAAGTAAATATTTACTTATAACCTGCTACATTAAAAAAAATTACTAGAAATTGAGGGAGTAATTTGAGAACATGAAACTAATAATGGGTATATTGGATCTAAACAGCTTTCTACAAAATACTGATATTGTTTTAAATAACTTTTTATGCATGAAAAGGCTAATTCTATCGGATTAAGATCTGGGGAATAGGGAGGAAGAAATTTCATATGTACACCAAATGCATTTAAATACTCAAACAACCCATCATTGTGATGAATACTTGCATTATCAAGTATTAAAACACTTCACTTATGTGGAAATAAATTCATTTGAGGCCACTAAAAATAAATAAAAAATTATCTTAAAAAATACTGTATACAAATATAATAATAATATAACTATATAGTATTTAATACCACTTGAGAAATTACAAATTCTTTAAATCGTTCTTTTGAACAACTACCTTCAATAATTTCAAGAGCAATAATGCTATCTAAAGTAAATGCAGATAGAAGCATATAATGCTTACTATGAAGAAATACTACTTTTTTAACAGTTCTTGTATTAAGTTCAGAATAACCATATCCTCGAGAGATAGTTCATTCATCTTTAGATGATTCATCCAGAAAAATCAAATGACTACTTTTATATTGAGAACCAATGCAGGCTATAAAGGCACTACAAAGTAATTCATTACTTTCATTGGCTGCTTTATGTAGCTAAAAATAAAAATTTAATAAAAATTATATTTATAAATTAAATTAATATAAAAATAAATACTTTTTTTCGTGTTATTCCACAGTAAGCTAGTGAATTCCACATAGTAGAAATTGAAACATTCTTTCTACGATAAATTTCTATTTTTTCAACAATTTCATCCAGATAATATCTGGATTTTCTTGAACAATGTTTCGCAAAACCTATAATTTAATATATGAAATTAAAAACTACTAACTCTATATAAATAAAATATTTAACACCTACATTCATGTCATTTCAGCTAAAAATTTTATGCTGTCCACGTATTTGTCGCTATGGATTAGTTACAGTTTCCTATTTTTTATATAGCTATAGAACTTTTCTTATCAAACCTTTACTAATATAGAGAAGGCTCATAATTTGTGATATTGAATAATTATCATAATGTAAATAAATTATACGCCATTTTAAATCATCACTATATGCAGGTGGCATGTTAATAAAGGTTTTTTTTTTTAAATTTTAATATAACGATTATACAATAAACTAGAATCTTTAAAATTCTCTAAGAATTAAAAAATCTATAAGAATCTACTGATTTCATGTGATTTCACATGACATTATGATTTGTAGGTATTACACTTTTTTGCGCAAAAGTTTCATTTTTGATAGATCTGCAGTTACTTTTTTGATAGACACAGATCATACCTAAATTTAGATAGTGTTCTTGATGCATCATATCCCATAGAATTTAAAAATTTTCAAGAATTTGAGTAAAGATATCTAGATGGTCGCCCAACCTAATTCAATAAAATTTTTTTTATTTTGATTCGACTATTCTGTAGAATCAAAATAAAAAAAAATTCATCGAATTTGGCTAGGTGGTTGCTGAGATAATTTCACTCAAAGTTTTATACAAATTTTGCTACAACCATCATTCTGATAGATGTTTTAATGTTTTCAAAACTTTGAGCAATGATATCTAAGCAACTACCCAGCCAAATTCGATGAATTTTTTTTTATTTTGATTCAACAGAACTGTAGAACCAAAATAAAAAAAAATTCATCGAATTTGGCTAGGTGGTTGCTAAGATATCATCGCTCAAAGTTTTGAAAACATTAAAATATCTATCAAAATGATGGTTGTGGCAAAATTTTATAAAACTTTGAGCGAAATTATCTCAGCAACCACCTAACCAAATTCGATGAATTTTTTTTATTTTGATTCTACAGAATAGTCGAATCAAAATAAAAAAAAATTATTGAATTAGGTTGGGTGACCATCTAGATATCTTTACTCAAATTCTTAAAAAATTTTAAATTCTATAGGATATGATATATCAAGAATGCTATCTAAATTTAGGGTATGATCTGTGCCTATCAAAAAAGTAACCACAGATCTATCAAAAATGAAACTTTTGCCTTTTTGCAAACAGCCATAATCGTTATATATCTTTGATATCTTTAACTATAAGCGATTTTTTGATTTTCTATTGCAACACAAGATAATCAGTTTTTTAAATATTGAAACTTTATTTTAATTATAAATATTTATCGTTTAAAAGGGTGTGGTGACTTAGTGAAGTGGTGAAGTTGTCGCACCCCCAAGCGGTTGAGTACAAGTTCAATTCCCACTGGA